TTCCTTGCAGGGCCAACGTTTTCCTTGCCCGGGCTGTGCTGACAGGTAGCCGTTCCTGGTGCAGTTGGAGCGAAATCACTTGAGATGCGCGTCATAGGGAGGTAGGGAAAAGTGCCCTTCTCCCTCCCCAAAATAACTGAGCGCAGAAGAGCAACACCAGCTGCCATCTGAGGCCTGGCGCAGACTGAATTCCCCCCGGGGTTGGTGCCTTCGAGCAGCGGAGGGATTAAAAGGACTGAAAAATGGTTTCTAAAGAGATGCTGTGCCGGCCTCTCCCATCCGGGTCCCCCTTCCTCAGCCAGGTGCGAGTGCCCTTGCGAAGGCAGTTGTCAGTGGATGCCCAGCACCGGGGTTATTCTGTCACCTTCCTTTCCAGGGCCAGGAGTCCAACTGGGCCTTCGAAGAGAAACCCACCGATACCAACCCCCAAAGCGCCTGCACGTTACAAGGAGTCGGAGAAGCTTTACAAAGCCCAGCTCGGGAGGAAGCCCCTGCTCCTGCCCTAACAAGAATGAAGGACATCTGGTCCCAGGGGTGGCCAATCTGTTGCTCTCCTCGGCTTTCGGGTCATCAAGAAGTAGAAGAGGAAGCTGGGGAACGCAAGGGGCCATGCGACCGAGCTGCTGGTTCAAAGGGAGATTTTTCTGCCCCTGCAATGAGCCACAACCTGTGCACCTCCAGCCCTTCCCTATGCCAGTTCCAGCTGCGAGTGCCTACCCAGCCCTGGGCGCCGTCATCAGCGCAGAGCCAACGGCGACCCGGCCTTTGACAATTTAAAGCCCTGCCCTGAGAGGCAGAGGAGTGAGACGGGGCATCACAAAGAGCAGCCAGCCTCACTGGCAACGGAGGTGCTGCAGCCCCCGTCCGGGTCTGGCTGGAGGAGGGCGGGAGGACGCCCAGGCATCCGTTCTGCATCCTCGCTGGGGAAACGGAGAGGTCACGAGCCTTTGGGAACAGCGCATTAGGGAGGCAAACGGAAGAGAAAAGGATGAAGGCCGAGGTGCCAGAGGAAGCCGTGTGCAATAGCCAGACGGAGACGATGGACAAGAGAGCGAGAGGGCCGCGAGGGCTGGTTGAGACGCGGGCTGGGCAGAGCCAAGCTGTGCTGGCGCACGATGCTGAGGCTCCCCTCAGCCTCCAGCTCAGGCACTGGAGTTGGAAGGGGAGCAGTGAGGAGCCGCTCGAATGAGCCCGAGAGGAAGGAGGGCACGTGAAGCCACGTGGCTCAAGGAGGCTGGCGAGGTCGAGCCTTTCCTGGCTGCAAACACCACGCCGTTGCCCGCAGCCCTCGAGCTGCGATGCTCGAAGAAAGAGTCGCTGCACGTGAGCTACTTTACGGCCCAGGAAAACGTGCTGGCTCTCTCTCAGCCAGCAGAAGCAAGCGCACGCCTGACCCGCCAGCAGCGAGCCACCCTTGACGCAAGGCAAGAGGAAATCTTTTGGTTCGTGGAGGTTTGAAAACTTTATTTCAATTTACCCAGGTTTTTCCGCTTTCCTTATTGACGTGCTGCAAGTGCATGCTCCTGGCAGCGGGCAGGCAATTTAAAATACACAATATTTAGACTTTATACTTAACAGTCTTAGACATTATGGAATGTATTTACAGACATACAAGTATAGGGTGGAGCTTAAAAAAACAACCCTTTCCTCTATTAATTACACGTTTACAAGGTTTTCAGAAGTAACAAAATTAGATCAGTTTGGAAAACCTCACAATATCTGTACAACGCTATTTCTTCTCCCCCTGCCCCATGTCCAAATTCAACGTAAAACCCTCTGCTTTGAAAATAAAATCCTTCAAAGAACCTCTCGAAGGGTGAACTGCTGGGCAGCGCCTCGCTGCTGGGAACAGAAACAGGGTGAGAGGCCGCTGAGGAGAGCCGCTGTCCCGGCTACTCCTTCCCCCCCTCCCAGGACAGAGGAATCGGAGCCGCTCTCATCTCGAGCCTGGCACCTCAACGCCGTCAAGGACCGCTACGTGCCACTTTCATTTCTGTCTCCTCGCACTGCGGAGCTGCGAGGTTTGGTGCCCGGCGGTAACCCGGGAGCTAACAGAAATGTACCAAATGCTTCAATGGATTTTTTTTTTTTTTTTTTTTGCCAACAGAAACGACCCAGAAAGGAAAGGCCATTGAGTCTTGCTTTAACGCAGAATAAAATTCCATCTGCCCTTGCTTTACACCACCCCTTGCACGGGATACAACAAAAATTGCACTTAGACATACCAAGGAGTCCTACCCCATTTCATCATGGAAGAGAACGGACGTGGGTTTTGGTATAGTGCGTTACACAAACCAGGCTTGGATTTTTGTCCTAAGCACCTGCCCAGGGTTTAGTGCTTGCCAGCGGGCCCACGCAAGGCCCAAGCGGTTAAGTGAACCGTTTTTGAAAACCGTAGGGGCATTAAAGCCTGACCAGGCCTACAAACAAAATTCAGCTGTACAGCTCCGCTCCCACATTGACCCATCCTTTGTGGCAGCGCCTGGTTTTCTAATACGCGGCGAGAAGAGGCCGTGTGTTGAAGACCAGACTCGGATCCAACCCTATCGCTTTCTAAGAGCTAACGTTAACGAAACGTTCAACTTCCACCAACCCGACTCTCGTTCCACTCGACTGTCCGCAGGTCCCAGAAGCTGCGCTGGAACAAACTACATGCTTTCACGTTCCCACATTTAAAGCTAACAGATTTCTTACAGTGGATAAATCTAAGTGACCTAAAGCAGGGTGTGATATTTAAACAGTGCACGTGACACACAATATCTAACACTGACATTCAGACGAGCCCAACACACCCTTTCAAAGCACGTCTGGTGTGCGACAGACGCGTCTGTGTTGATAGCAGTGAGTGGCAGAAATCTGTATCCTCCGTTCTGTACACAGTGGCAGACTTCAGTGAAAGGTCTCCATTTTTATCTACATGCTCCTTCAAGGCCCACCCCGTCCCCTGCAGCCTTCACCAGGACCAAGGGGCTGGGACAGGGAAGCTACAGCCCTTCCAAAGGGAGGCTCTGTCTATGGAGTCACTCGCCTCCTTTCTACATTGCAAGTCACTGATCTCACAGGATCCAAAGCAGGGGATGGCAACAGCTGTGCCAGTCTAGGTTTAAATATCCTTCACATTTCCCTAGATTTGTGCTCTGATCGGGGGGCGTCAACACCCACACGCTGTCCTGGGAAGCCAGTGAGGCAACTGCCACCACAAGGGACCTTGGGACAATTATGCAAACCAGGCGGGAGCGGGAAGGGGACCTGCAAATCAAAAGCAAAGAAGTCCAGCCAGGCCCAATGTTTCCATAATCGTAACAGTGCTGTTTCTGTCCCTCCCTTCCCTTCATTGACCCCAAATCCTTTCGGCTTTGCTGGGGCACTGAATCTACCCCGTAACAGGACATTGCAGACATCAGGAGCCTCCCGGGCAGGCCATGATAGCAGCACCGTGGCCTTCCGGGACACTTCGCGTGAGCCAGGGAGCATCAAGAGGATTTCATGGGGGAGAAATGCATTTTTACGAAGACGTGGTCCTGGCCTGGTGGGGACCCCAGGGCGCGGAGATCTGGGCTTTGCGCTCTAGGGCCCCTTTTACGCAGCAAAGCTGAGATTTGGTCTCTCTCACTCGCACGTTGGAATCGCTGCTTTGTGTGTGAGCAGCTATGCCAAGGTTTCTAGCCCTGCAGGAGCTTTATTGAAGGTGCTGGCAAACGCACGGACAGAAGCTCCCCTTCACAACACGTCGGTGCTTTGCTCGCACAGCCATTCCTCCCGGGTCTTTGTGGGGGCTGGCTGGTGCACGACTATTTCCCCATGGACTTCTACCGGTTGCTCGGAATAACTCTCTGCCCTGCAGCGAAAACAGGTTTGCGATCTGCGGCAGGAAAACGTTCAGTTGTTTTGGGCAGCAGGTCCGAGCCAAGGAGCCGGACTGGCAGAACCAAGCGAGTCTCTGATCCTGCGAGAGTCCCTACAGGTGTAGGACGAGTTCCCAGCTACAGATGGACTAACAACCGCTTAATGGATGTTAATGTGCTTAGCGCAGGTATTTGAGCAGTTTGGGCGTAGCATCTTCCCCTGCAGCGTGCGCTCTGTGTGGAGGGAACGAGCAGCATCTTCTCTGCTGGGGTGGCCGGGGAATCGCCTGCGTTTTTATGCTTGGGCCCTGGGGGGAAGCTGCAGGGAACAGCTCTAACCTGCGATCATTACGTCCAACGGTGTGTGGCAGCTCACCCCGCTGCAAACCTCCACGGGGACACTGCAATGGAAACGGCACCCCCCTCCCCACTTTGGAAACCGCTCGTGCTAGGAGCCCGGGAGTGTTTCAAGCCGCCCGTGCATCAAACACCCGCACGGTCAGCGTCAACACAGCTCCTAACAACCAGACATGTGAATTCCCACCCGCCTCCCCTCCCCACAACCAGCGTCCCTTCATAAGGGGTTAAAAAAAGGGGGGGGGGAGGGGAGGGGAAGGGGAGTAAAAAATGAAATGGAAACTGGTGCGATCTCCAAAAAAAGTGGAGAAATGAAACAAAACATTCCTGTCAGGAATTGGGGAAACTAACTTCCTTCTTAGAACAGAGCTCTGCGTGCGTGGACAACTGCATCAGCAGTGCCCTCTTCACCGTCTTCCGCTTAGCCAAGGGAAACCAAAAGGTCCTGGAGGTCTTTACACAGCAGACAAGTGGTGATGCTGCTGCTTGGGGGGCGCGAGCTCCAGAAGTGCCTGGACGGTCGCTGCTACCTGGGCCAAGCCCTTCTCTTCTAAAATATGCAGAGGCAAACATAATTGCTCCTGAATGGGGAAACAAACAAAGACAAAACAAAGAAAAGGGATGAAAACGATCAACCAAAAAAGGGAAGGAAAAAAAAAAAAAAAAAAGGCAAATTAAACCAGCAGGAGGAGACCGAAACGTGGAAGGTTACCGACTCGGATGAACAAACACAACCGTGGCTGGACGTAGCTCTTTACCTCCAGACCGTGACCGTGGTAAGAAATCCACAAACTCTGGGACAATCAGTTTATTTATTCAATCAGCACTCGCGGAAAACAGGTTACAAATCAGGAGACTTGTGGGGGGAGGCGGCGAGAGGAGGGGCAGCGGGCATCTGCCTCCTCCGCCATGCGAACTTAAGCGACATCACCTCGATGCTGGGGTGGAATCCACCTGGCGAGCACGATAAAATGCCGAGAGCACGACAGAAACCACGTTTACATTTCTGTACCGGACCAGGGCTGCGCGAGATACTTTTCCGTCCCAGATGTGGAAAAGCCAAGTCCCTTTTTTTGAGCCTTTAATCGAGTGGTATCAGTGCGTGGCTTGGAAACGCTGGAGGGAAGGCTGCAAAGCATCTGGGCGCTTGCAGCGGCAGGAGATGCACTGCACACAACAGACCCCCCCCCCCTTAAATGCTCCCAGCCCATACGTTTGCTCTGACCTCCACTCCGAGACAGCAGAAATCCCTGGGAACAGCAGAGCACGCAGGCTGTTGCATGCCAAAATAGGGCCTCGTCCGTCTGAAGGACTGGACTGCTTTGGATAGGGAGAAGGGTCAACAGTGCTGTACTATGGGACAGGCTACCGTGACAGAGAGGCAGTGTGAGGTGAAGCAAATATCCTCGCTGTATGCATACAAAGGGTCAGTCAAGCTCTCCACTACTGGCCTTGCGTGTTTACTACCAGCAGCATCAAAAAGTGTTCTTATTAAGAAACGGGAGGTTAAAATACAAAGTGCGGAGCGAGTTCCCAAGGCATCTATTCAGAACCGGGCTATTCAATGCAGGGCCTGACCCTGACCTTGACCCTCCCGAGCCTGCCACTGTCCCGGGCAAACTAGCGCTCCTGCCTGAGACCTCTTCATTTAAAAAAATGGGGCACCCCAAATTTGTCATCCCAGGAGGACCCCGAGAATTGATGCATGTTTATGAAGTCCTCACAGGCCAACCTGCCCTTCTGCACGGGCTGCTTGGGAGCCAAGTCCTCCAGAACAGGGGAGCGAGCGCAGGCCAGGCCTCTCGCACAGAGGGGATGAATACTGACACACGTACTCCCTCCCCGCATGCCTCACAGCAAGACGGATCCCCCGCCAGACCTGTTTTAACAAGCCGGCAGTGGCTACCGCGAGATCTGGAGGCAACAGCTCACGGGGAACGTCCCTGCGGCTCTCGCTGACTTCTTTTAGTTTTCACTTTATGTCTCGAAGGAACATAAAGAAGCAAGGGGACAGGCGTTGGAACGAATCCACACCACGGAGAGAGTTAGGACAGACAGAAGGGCTTAAAGCTGGAAGGCACCGTTAGTGTCAAACCCGAGCAGTTTTCATCACAGTGTTGATTAAGAGAAGTTAGCGTAGGCAACTGAGTTAAATTTTAGTCCGTACCAGCAAAGAGTGCAAAAATAGCTGCAACGGGGATTTGTTTTTGTTTGAATCAGCTGTAACCCTGACTTCTGAGGAAGGACAGCGAGCCAGGTCCTCGGGCAGCGCTCTCGGATAGCAACGCCGTACGTCAGCCGCAGCGTTGTCAGGAAACAAGGCAAGCAACTTCCCCCTCGCTCCCGCTGGTCTTATGTAACCCTGTTCTAGTGGGAGCTCAGCGACCCGGCCTGTCTGCTGAGCAGCTCTTTCACTGGTAACTGCAGCAACTGGGCTCCCGCTGCTACCGCAATAACACCGCTCAAATCCCAGCGCCAGTGAAAGAGCGGCTGGGCAGACCTCTCAGGACGAAGAGGAATTTGTGGACAGACACTGAGAAGAGCCACGTGGACTTGCCACTTACCTGTGACCGAGTCGGCCCTGAGTTTGGACATCGCGCTCCGAGGAGATGTGGCCTCTCGCACGCGGCTGCTCGGCTCTAGGGGCTCCCTGAGAAACGCATAAAAGCACCAGAAAGCAGCGGGGGCTGCCCGGTGGAAGACTACGTGAGCTCTGCGAGCGGCGAGCCTGATGCCCGGGATGCCACGGGGCAAAGTCCCTGGGCAGGAAGGAGCGCGCTACAGGACAGTCTGGACTCCAGCAGCTGCTGAAGACGTCTGGTTAGCCTTTTTTATTTTTTTTTAAATCCAGTCCGACACAGGGCAGGGTGTCGGACTGGATTTAACACACTGCCCGTCTGGTGCCAAGCCTATTTTCCCCAGGGCATCTCCTGTACAGGCCCCCAGGCCTGATGGAGCCGAGAAGCAAGCTGAAGCAACTCAAGGTTTGCTGACGCTTCACTGGTGCTTCCAACTCCCACTCAGAGACTCAAATATGGGAAACCCACTCTTCTAGGGAAGGGGAGGGGGGAAATCCTGAGGACACAAAACCTAGAGCACTCCTGATAAAAGCACCAGGCCACATCTCCTGAGATTGCGAGATCAGGGCAGGAACGTCGACATTTGAAGAAAACAGAATGCATGTTATACATCACTTTCCATCAGGGAGGCTCAAAACACTTGACAGGTGTGGGGAGCACTCCCATTTTGCAGACGGGGAAACCGAGGCACAAAGCGGAGATGTGCTTTTCCCCACTATCACACAGCTAGTTGATAGGGCTGTGACTAGCACCCAGGTGTCGCGACCCAGTCCCCTGCTCTGCCCGGCGGAGGATAGTTCCTACCACACAGCAAATACAAACTGGAAACGGTGTCGGGGATGGTCACCTGGCCGTGCCGGAGAGCTTATACATTGTACATGTCCCATCCAATCGGGGGAGCAGAGGGAATGCACTTATACACATAGTTCTTGCCGAAAACAAAAGCCGTTACCAAGCCCTGGAGCGACGCGGCGCCAGCAGCACCACCGGCCTCCAGCTAGAGGAAAAAGACCCAGCGATAGAACATACAGAGCGTTAGCATGAGAGTGCAGTAAAACGCCACAAAGCCCCAGAGCTGGACGGAAAGGGAGACAAGAGCGGATTCTTCTGACTTTGTCCCCAGGGAAAGCAGCGTTTCAACTGTCCTTTTAACGCTGAGATTTAACTGCAGAATGTCAGAAGGGGAACAAAGATTGTCCTGTCCAGGGTGTGAGAGCAGGAAGGGAAAACAGACAGAGAAAAAAAAAAAAAAGAAGAGGTCAGTTGGTTAGTTGTACAAACATCCACAAAGCAGACAGTCATCAGACATCTCAGATATACCCAACGAACACGAGGAGCAAGGTACAGCTGGCTACTTATAAAGGAAGGACCTGAACCAATTCTGCTCAGAAAACCCCTCTCTGTACGGATTTTTATGCCTGGGGATCTGGCAGCCCAGCTCGCTCCCAGAAGTGATGATCACATCTATTTCAAGAGAACAGGGGGCACTTGGCCTCAGTCCTGGGGCAAACCAATCCCACCTTGGAAGTAAGAAATAAACTGGAGAAGACTTTTTTAAACTGCCGCAAGCTCCTAGTGAGGCTTCCAGTCCTAAACAATTAACACCTGCTTAATTGGCGTCATTCTTCTTGGCACAGGCAGGCAGCACGGACCTGCTGCTGATCTCTGGATGCCATACCCTGCAGAGATACCCAATACTTGATCGCAGGGCTTCTGCGGTCTAAAACTATCGGCATTTCTGGACCTCTCACCGACCTTCAAGAAGCAGCTGCTGCGAACAAGGAGGGGCAGGGGCGTATATAGCACATCACAGTGCCCAGCTCGGTTTCTTTTCATCCAAAGCCACCACAGCATGGCATCTGACAGAATTACTCTACACCAAAAGCCCGGCTCTACGCAAGAGCTTGCCTTTACAGCGTAATGGCCAGTAACGAACTTGCTGTCTTAAAAGGCAAATATTTCTGCACCGGCCCACCCTCTGAGGCAGCCCCGTGTTTCTGTCATCTCAAAATTAAGTGAGAGGACACACGTGCAGGCATCTTTTCACTTACAATACAGCAGAATGCCCTTCTTTGGGAGGACATGCCCTCTTCTCACCTCAGTCCCATGGGAAGAGCTGGGAAGGGGGTACGTGCAGTGGTCAGGGAGGGAGCCCATTAGTAAAGAAACCCAGAGACCTCCTCCTTCAGGAGCACTCATCTGAGCTCAGTGCAGAAGAAATGAGAGCACAGGCAGATGCGAGGTGATTCAGCCCGATTTGCTTCTCTGAATTTCATGTAACCCAGACTTAGCAAAGCACACCTGAGGCAGCAGGGGAGCGCAGCGGCTATATTTCACTTGCTCTATCTCCCAAACTCCACAAAACACACAGTCGCTTGGAGGTCAACAAGGTGCGAGATCCTGAACTGCTTCTGGACACCCAGGTAAGGCGGCACTTCAGAACAACACGCCACTGATATCCCACCAAGCCCCTGATATCTCTGCACAGCTCCCAGCTCTCCAAGGAGCGAGTCTCAAGACTTTAATAGGCAGCTACGTCGTTCTTGTGCTGCATTCCTGAGGGCTCGAGGCAAACACCTGTTAAACAGCTTGCAAGCAAAGCCACTAACGACTTAATCCAGGCGTATATTGCACTAGCAGCGATTGTCAAGAGACAATGCGTCTCAGAAGGAGTGGGGAAGTGAGTCACTAGGTCCACTTTTCCTTTTCAGATATGCCTTTCAGGAAGCAAACAGGAAAAACACAACTGCAACAAAAGAAATTCTAATACTTGCTTCTTAATATAAGAAAACAAACCAATTAATACAGTGCAGGGGGAAAGAAGCCACAAATAGCTATTAAAATATCCTTTTTTGCCCCAAGACAGCTGCTGTCAGATGCCAAGTGGTGGAGAGGAGGAGGGAAAAAAAGAGAGGCAGGTGGACTATGGTGTGCTATATCATCTACAGTATTTCCGTCTTGGGCTCTTGTCCTGACAGAGAACATGCAATGCCTCGGCAAGGTAAGGAGGGATTCCAGAAGGCAGCAGAGTTTTAGAGCAAGGACATATAACGAAGGAGTTATGCATAGGATATTTATGCAGAGATAGTCAACATCAGAGAAAATGATTCCTGGTTAGGCAATCACAAGTGCTCTCCTGAAAGGTCTGAGCGCCAGGTTTTGTTCTGAAGGCACACCAGAAACTTTGGGCTCCGAGTGAACGCACACGAGTCTACCTCCAAAGTGTATTTCATTTTTTTTTTTTAAAAGGCACCAAGTATAAAGTCTTAGGAAAATTTGAATGATTCCCCCCCCCATTACTGTAAAAGTAATGTACCCCACAAATCTACAGGACACCATCCAACTGGATACAACCATCGTGAGCTTGATGCATATCCCACACATCCAGTGTGTCCTTTGTAAAGCAGTGACAGCAGCTATATGTTGCTAGAGAAGAACACTGCAGACCCCCCCCGCCCCGCGACAAGAGCAGCAGGCCGGTTACCTGAGGCACGCCGATCTTTTTGCAAGCTTCCAGGAAATTCTCCACGTTTCGTCTGCATTTTGCCATTGTCAGTTTGGGCTGCAAAGCAGGGAAGAAGAGCAAATGGTATTCTTTGGTTTAAATCAACTCGTAATAAATCCACAGGCCAAAAAACACATCCTGGTGACATGAGCTTGTGTAATTCGAAACAGAGCTCTGCTACAGGGAACTTGGGTATTTCCTTGGGCAAGCATGAGACGAGGAGCCCACTCACGAAGCACTGAGATGGACAACTGGACAGCCTGTTTTCGCGCACCTTGCTTGTGCAGAGATCACTGCTCTCCCCCCCCCCCCTTTTTTAAATTAAAATGTCTATTTTGAAAGGATGCAATCTGCTGGTCTTAAAGACATGCTTAGACTAGAACAAAGACATGTGACTGCAGCAGAGAGCCCTCTGACAGCAATTTCACGACGTGAATATGCAACGTGTATCTCAACTGATGGGCAAAAACAAGAGCTAGATGAAACCAGCTAACAAGTAAGCTAACTAGGAATTTAGGCCTCTGATGAGTGTTTCAGGCTCCTGCATTAGCATCACTGCCTTTACTCAGATTTTAAATGTCAGCAAAAGAAGAGATGAGACCAGGCCTGTGCAGAGGCATGCCCCCTCTTTCCTTGGCACAAGCTAACTACAGCAGTGCCAAGGAAAGAGGGGGCATGCCTCTGGAGGGCCAGCCAGAGACGGGGCAGTAATGCAAGCCAGATTAAGGCCAGATGCCAATCCCTTCCCCCAGCGGAGGGAGAAGGGGTCGTAGAGGCCATGCCATGGCTTAACCCCCACAATGATCCCTGTTCTTCTCCAGGGGTTGCACAACTCCAGTCTGTCCCTTACTCGGAGCTTGTCGCAAAGCCCTGATTGAGTTGATCTAATCTATATGATATAATCATATCATCTACTGAGCTAATAGTATAATCTATATGATTATAACAATGTAGGAAAACACGGATGAAGATCAGAGAGATCTGCAGCATGCAGTGAGCTTGCTGACCGGCTGCTGTAGGAATATGCTTCTGAGGGTTCCTGTAATCTGCCTTAAATGCCAGGAGATTTAGTTAGGCTGTTATCTAAGCCGTGGGGACATCTGTTCAAAAGAGCCCACAGAAGAGGGACCACAACGATACGGTACGCAGAGCTGTAAGTGCCAGTTAAGAGCTCGAGCCAATACAAAAGAAGTCAAACCAAAGCAGAACTGGCATGTTTCAGTCCTCCCCACTTCCCCCAAGACTCCTGGGTTCTCCTTTTTTTATTCATCCTATTTTCAAACAACGCAAATGACTGTAACAAGCCAGTCGTCTGCCTTGAGGAAAGCAAAATACAAGTTATTGCTCACGTATTTTTGGAAGGGAATAGAAAGGGGGGGGGCTTTGCATGGCTCTGCTTAGAGTCTCACGAGGGTAGCGTTCAGCTAAATCTGCCAGGAGCAATGAGGGAAAACAGGTGATTCCTAGGTGAGGCTGATTTTCAAGGAGCTTTTCATGAGCAAACAGACCGTTCCTATCTTGTGGATGTGGTAGGTAGGTCACTGCTTGGTTTCCTCAAAGTCTTTTTCTAGCCAAGAGATTTTTTTTTTGTTTGCTTGTGTTTTCTGTGCACACAGTTGTTGGTGGTTAATAAGGAAGTCAGAGAGATTGTACTTTTTCTGCACCGCTTTACACACTTTTAAAGAAACAGCTCCAAATGTTCCAGTCCCATAACAGCAAAGTAACTTTTGAAGCATTTTTCTGCTGCCTTGTGTAACTACTGCCATGCATTGCCCTAGCATGTATTATACAAAGATCAGCTCCTTTCTCTGCACCTCCTCACAAATGCACGGCTGAGCTGATCTGCTCCGCTTCAGGGTCCTTGAACAATGCACTTCACTGAGATTTCACAGGAGAGGAGCTGCCGTCAATGTAAACTTCAGCTAGGAACGGGAATTAATTCACATCTTCCACAAAGGAATTATGACTCCATTTTTCTGCTGTCTTCTGAACCACACTGCGACCCATAAGGGAAAATGCTGTACATTTCTACTAGCTGCCCCTCTGTATTTCTTTTGGCTGGTGAAATATCCTATATTTTGGTTCTTGTGTTGAGGCCTGTCTTTTGTTTTCTGATAATATAAAGTTTTCTAATCCTACATTTAGCTCTAGCACATGGCATCAGATGAAGTCACTGTTTACATAAGAGAGAGAAATGCAAATCTCACTCGCTTCCCCTCCCCATGGCTGCACTACACATTCTGCGTAGGCAAGGGAGACTGGTATTGTACCAGGTCTGCTCAGCAGTAGGAGAGAGCGTTTTGCCCGCGACTCCCACCTAGCCTATAAAATAATGCAAGGCCACAGTAGGTAGCTACAAACACTCAAAACCTTGTATACTTACTACAGCAGGCGAGGGGACATGTATGCTGGGAACAGATCGAGGCCGCACATGATTGGCAAGGTGGCAGAGAACAACGCCATCAGTAAGAGCAGCTCCGAGATCGCTGGGCAAAGATACTTTCAACCGTGACTCAATATTCTGCAAAGGAAGGAAAAGAAAACCACAACGCAGTCTAAAAATCCAGTTAAATGGATAACAAGAGCTGCTCTTCGCAAACTTTTTCATTCAACAGACTATTTCATAGCCTCCTCCCGATAGGTCATGGCTGGCTTCTCAAATGCCAGTGTGGGTCACCAAGGCAGGATCTGTTCACCACTGGGATCCACAACTGACCAAAGGCAAGAATGACTGACCTAAAAGACAAACGAGTTTTGGCTGCACAGCACATGGCATTAATACAGCACCGGAGATAAAGGAACATTGCTCAGAAGTGATGAAAACCACAAATCCAAGGGTGAAGAACCAGTCTCAGAAATGTATTCAGAAGGCAGCTTTACTAAACAGAAGTGAAGAGAGCTGCCCACACAAGTCTTGGAGTGGAAGCAGCCACCAAAGGCCAGATACTATTTTCCTGTAAAGAAACACTGAACTACGAAGTATCATTAGTTTATGCTGGTTAAAACAAAAGGCAGCAGCAAAGCGCAGTGTTTATAGCAAGGAGACTAGGCTCACAAGTCCTGGATTCCTGTCCTACTCACTCACTGCAGGAACTTGAGCGAATCATTACTGCACACCTAAAGTGATTCTGTTTTTCACACTTCAAACCCTGGCCTACGTGGGAGTCGACTCTGAGGCTCGTTTTATGCAAACCACTCTGCGATGAGAGGACAGAGGTGCTACAACAGCACAAAGCATCATTTAGAGAACATGTTGGGTTACAGGTTCCTTCAAGTTCACAAGCAGAAAGAAAAGAATCCAGAGCTCGGACTGCTTCTGGTCACTACGCTCAGAATCAGCGCCGATGGAGCGGGCAAGAATTTCTCTCTCAGTGACAAAAGTCTAAAATAACAAATGGCAGCTTACAACTCTGTATCACAAGGAAATAAGATTTGGGGGATTCCTTTGGTTAACGATCACCTGCAACTGCACGGGAGATCCCTATGCTCCTGAGCATAAACAGGAAATATTTAATGCACTCCCAAATGCAGCTGTCTTCGTGTGAACACAGCCGAATCGCAGAACAGCCCCTTTTTAATTTATGATTCAAGTTGAAACAGAACCGTGAAACCTCAGGCATGGACCAGAGTTTCACTGAACCAGGGCTGGCACAAATACAGAACAAAACGAGGGTTTCTGCTTCAGTGGACAAGACAAGAATCAACAGATGGATAGAGAGAGGTGGTGGGGCATAAGGAACAATTAGTTAACACTGGTCAGCATGACAGGGAGCACCCTTAGCTCAGCACATGCATCCTCTTGCCAAATTTGGGCTGACTTTTCAGGAGTGATGTGAAGATGCACGATGGACCACCTTTGCAGAGGCATATAAACTGCTCCTTGCCAACAAGAATGTGGGACCGCATGGGAGAAAGCACAAAGTTGCTTGTTACTCTTTTGAGCAAGGGAGCAATGAAAGCTGGTATCGCTGCCCAGCCAGATACAGGAGTCAACACCTTGACTGGGTAGGCGACCTGCCACAAGCGGCACAAGCAGCTTCTGTGACACGTGGCAGATTAGAGGGCAGGCAACAAAGCAGCAGGAGGGCAGGGAGCAAAAGGCAGAGCAATAGATCAGGTAAGGGAAGAGGATGAGTGGCATTCAGAGAGGACGCAGGGCTTAATCTGTGGCCCCCACTGCTGTATGGGACATGACATTACACAACACAGGAAGCTAGAGAACAATGCACCCAACAGAGAGGAAATTTTACAATGTAAAACGATCAAAATTGAGGGCGTGTGTGAAATGAGACAAATCCAAAACAGGAGTGTCACATTAGCATCACGCTTACAGTCTTCTAAGATGTCAGCGTATTAGTTATCATCAGTATGTACCTTCCGCAGCTGCTCTATCAACTCCAGCTCCTTCTCGCGCTGCTTGGCGTTCTGTCTTGCTCGAGCGTCTGTCGAATCATTAGCAGGGACCAAGGCTGAAGGGGAAGATGAAATAACAGCTAGAAAAATTGCATACAGGAAAAAAGCACTGAAAATGGCTGGGAAGGAATCTCTATCCTGCAGTGTTGCAAGGACACAGCATACAAGCCTGGGTACAGCACATTTCCCTCCACGTACCCATTTCCTTCATTAGATTAATAATTTAAGTATTTCCATGCCATGTCTCATACTCTGCTTAGTGCAGCACATGGGGTCAGGCTGATACACTGGATCACACATGTGGACCAACCCCATGCCGGATCAGTCCTGCAGAGTGACCCCACCTATGGGATCTGGACCCATGCCACTCATCCAGCCGGCAGGGCTGGAAGGTTTAGCACCATCGGCCTACGGTGTTTCTATACCCAATTAATTCTCTCTCTTTTGGTCAACAAACGCCTCCATGAAACGAATTTCAGCTGGATAAAGTGATGGCAAATGCAGCTTCAGCCTTATTATGAAGGCATGAGTTCTGATGTTGTTTTACAGAACGATGCGAAGCCTGTGAAATTGCTTTTGCCACTAGCAACTGACTTGAAACAGCACTTCCATGGCTTCTTTACAGCTGAAAGGATAAGCCCAGGAGAGCAAATCCCACCCCCAAGTGCATACACACGCATGTCATGTTCTGCCTTCCTGCCATCTCTTAGTTCTACATTTCACCAGGGCAAAAATACTGGACTGAACCATGAAAAGGACTCTAACGGTTTATTCTAGGAATGGGTAATGGGAGGCACCCACAGCTAGCTCTCCAAAGCTAGCTCGAGGAGAATAAAGCTACTGCTAAAGTAAGGAAACCATGCAAAAACTATCCAAACCCAGAAATGAATATCATCTAGCAACAGTCATTCCTCCAGCTGCACAACCTACCTTTGTTTGTCTCATCCCTTACAGCTGGTCGGAAAAGGAAACTCTCAGGTCGCTGGGAAGGGTTTCTATAGGAAGGAGGAGCAGCAGGGCCAGGATATTGAGGGGAAAGGTGGACTGAACAAATGTGGAGAGGCACAGGAAGAGAAAGGTTAGCATTTAATAGGAAATGGGTTTGGCAAAGCAGAAATTAAAAGAACAAAATCAAATTACAATATAATAATGAGAAACCAGATGTCAGCCATGCCCGAGTAATGTGAGAAATACATAAGAGCCATGCATGGTACAAGGCACAGGGTAGAAAACAGCACCACTGCGGCACCCGCGTGCAGTCTCTCTCATGCACTGCTACCAACAGACCTTGCTTTCAACAGGACACCGGGCCAATGGCTGCATCAGAGCCTGGAAGCCATCAAGCCCTACTATTTCCCCATGAATATCCTGCCATTCTTAGTGTCAGTTCATAGACATGGTCCTGAAGAGACCTGAACACCTATGTCTCTTGCATGGACCAGTCCCATGCACACGGAGGAGCAAATTCAGCCATGTTAACTATGCAAACAAGCAATTTAATCCACTTTATTGCTACTTCTCAGCCCTTTTGCTCCCCGCTTCTCGCTTACCTGTCTGAGTTGTTGGTGAACCGGGAGAGATGGCAGATCTGTCATCACTCTGTGGACAGATAAGAAGAGGGAGCATAAATCACCCTTACTCAGATGGACTGTGACTAGCTTTTCGGAAGATACCAGCCACCTAGATATATTTAAGTGTGTGTGTGTGTGTGTGGGGGGGAACCCATCTGATTGTACCCTTTCACCCCCTACAGATGTACAATGGACCTTTCTTTTGCAGAACTGATGCTACCCCTCTAGGAATAAAATGGCAAGAAGTATTGCTTCTGGAGGAGACAACTGCAGTGCTGTGTCTATATACCCCCCCAAACAATCTGTTCTTTTAAAGGGAACACTGAAGAACAGGCAATTACATGTCATGCAAACATGCAAGATGGCAGCTTTGACGTCAATACATAGCCTGCTCCAAGTCTCTGCCTGAGCAAAACTGGTATTAACTGCGTCTCACACTTCTGGTACTGGTATTAACCAGTACTGACCAGCAAAACTGGTATTAAATGTATCTCTCACTCCCTTCCCCTCAATTTGGAACATACTGTGGTTCTACTGACGGCAGAACTAATACGAATGAACGATTGCTTGCAATGAACGTATTGACTATGGAACGCAGCAGAACCTTTTTCACAAGAGGAAGATGCCCAGGATCATCACCCGTAATGTTAACAGCAAACTTGCAAAGAAAATAAAGATTTTTCCAATAAACTACAAGTTAACAGCAGCCAGATTACCAGATGGTTATGGGGAGGAAAAATAACCTTGTAAAGGAAAGGTGACAGGAATCAAGAATCTAACAACCAGTTAGTCCACACGGGGATCAGACTGCTGCTAGTTATTAGTGTGTTTTCATGATGGAGGCCCAAAGTAGACTTAAAGTTAAAACAAGGGAAGACCAGTTTCATACCCAACCTGAATGTCAGATTAGACTCTGATAGATTAATACATGTTAAAACAGACTCGTAGATCCAACAGAGGCTTCCTGCTGGCTTTGCTGGTGAACGATAACAGCTAGAGATACCTGCACGGGTCTGAAGGCAGAGGCATGTGGCAGGGTGGTAGCACAGCCCTCTTGATTCAACCCTGACAGCGACTGAACACACAAAGAAAGAAAGAGAAAGAGGAGGCAGTGCCAATGTTAGCAAACAGCTGACGAGATGTGCCAAAGCAGAGTGCGCCGGTGGGATTAGCGAGGGGCGGGTACTTACAAATTCTCAAGTGTTGCAGAGACATTCAGTAGACAGAAATGCCAGAGCACTTCTTGGAAAAAGCTATAACAACCCCCCACACCCTGCCCACAAAGACATTACCACTGATAAACTTAAGAGAGGGGCCGTTTCATTTCAGACATGAACAGTGAATGGTAGAAGCTCCCTTAGTCATATACTGCCCCGGACACCACGCTCACCAAAGCCAAAAGAAAAAAAAAAAAGAAACGTTCTCTTCGCAATTGTTCTATTCTGATTAGCAGATTAAATTAATGCATTTTGAACGTTTTTAAAATCCCAATTTCTCTGTGTGTACAGTAAACTGTTTTCTTAACCTCACGGATATACAGGATACATTACTGATACAGAAATATATGAATTGTGTAGTGCCTGTAAGAGAAACACACCAACCTCTGACCATTTTCACCTGAAAACCCGAAATGCTCTTTGAGTTAAAGAACAGGCAAGATGAATAGGAGTCTACAGATCAGAGAGGAGGTGAAGTGCAAACCACCCGCATGTTATACTGCATAACTTTTTTTCAATGTTAAGAGATTTGGAAGAGGGTTCAGGTCTTCCCTTGTACACAGCAGTACCTCTTTTGACTAGGGAAAGTTTTTAAATCAATAGGTACATCTTGAAGATCACAGTGCATCTTTCTATGGACTCCACAGCCAGCCTGGCTGCCCTCTGGGATGACCAAAAGGAGCGTGGAGGACAGAAGCGCATAGCCTGCTGAGTGAGAAAGGGTAGTCCACATGAAGATGCACCGACTGCTGCTCTGGCCCCGGATTCAAACACATCGAGGCCTTGCACTGTGTGGACACCCCGGGGTCAGCACCTGGCAGTTTCACCAGTGGTGCTGTCTACTTCTACCCCTACTTGAAGCTCAAATCCAGAGCTGGCCTTTCAGACCTTCTGGATCGTATCCTTTGTGCTACTAGGGAGCACGCACAAAACAGTAACAACTGGGGGCTGGGTGAACCAGGAAAGGAACAGGACAACACCTGAGTATATCAAACCACCATTGACGGTCCCCCACACCCAAGATTGACCTATACAGACTTCAGGTTTGTGGAAATCTTAACAGAATAATGAACCGTCTAACTCTTTTTCAAATGTCCAGCCAGAAAGGAGATGTCACTTTACAGGGGCCACATGCTATAAGAGGGGGGCTAGCCTAAGCAGAAGCCCCCTGGGGATCTGAACAACCTCAAGAGTCAACCCACAAGAGAATGGTAGTACAGGAGCAGGGATACAAGGGGCTTTGGGCCTCACTTGACATAACAAGCATTAACTGGCCTTTAAACGATGCCCAGAAAAGGGATTTGTGCAAGCCAACGCTACTTACACAGCAGTTTGTTTCCATGACAAAAGTGCAAGACACCTCCGACAGGGGCTAACCCAATGGATTATTCACAAGTGCTACATCCACCAGCAGGCAAGGGGGAGGGAAGAGCAACACGCGAAGGGTAAGAGAGCCACAGAAGTCACACACGGCATGCGCTTCACCTGTTTGAGCGTCCCCGGCCTCCTTTTAATGGTATTGGTGTTACTGTCAATCTCAAACACAAAGAGAGGCTCAAAGCCGTTCTGTCAGGGATGGCACAGGAAAGAGAAGGAGGGAAGAGAGGAAAAAAGTGAGGCAAAGAACCACCTTGAGGAGACAGACGTAGGTGCCAAGAAAAAGGACCTGCAATGCTGCTCTTGGTGCCAGGCTCCTACCTGAAAGCCCACTTACGATGCACAGCTGCTTCCTCTGCCCTCGGTTCCCAGGCCCAGCTCTTTTTTGGGAGCTTTTCCCAAGCTAGGATGTATTGAAGGGCACAGGAACTGTGCAGAGCAGAGCCAAAACTAGGACTCCGCACTAGCCAACCAAGGCTATTACACTGCAACGCCTGCTCGTGATGGGAAGCCAATTAACGGGCACTGAGCACCTGAGAGAGCGCTCAGAAGGATCTGCTACCCTGGCACCAGATCCAGCTGCCTTTACTCCTTGCAGGTATATACCTGTGGTGCACAAATACACACTAGCCCACGTGTACAAAGAACTGAGGTCCCGATGAGCTGAACATGTTGAAAGATGGTCCCAGCCCCACAGGAGACGATGAGGTGTGAGAGGTGACTCGAGCAAGCACAGGAGAGCATGCAACAGCGAGCGGGGTGGGGGCAGTGAAAGCAGCAGTGGTCACAGCACGCCAGCTGGGAAGGCCCCTCGACAGGCCCTCCAGTCTAATCCCCTCAAGGCAGGATCATCCTTCCCTCAACCATCTCCTCCGGCTGCTCTTATAATCTTGGAGACTAACTAATCTGGCCCAGTGCTAAACCACCCTCATAGTTAAAAAAACTCCTTCTAATATCCAAACTACATACGCCTTGTTGCAATTTAACGCTGTTAATTCTTGTCCTGACCCCTGCGGCCAGAGAACAGCATATCACCAACCCCTTTATAACCACACTTCATATATTTGAAAACTGTTGTCGAATCTCCCCATAGTCTTCTCCGAGGTCTAAGTTTTATAGGCAACAGCAGAAATGAACTAAGGGGACGGGGGTGATCGAGCCCAACTAGACTTGCACTGTTAGCACTATGAGGCCCTGACACTATCTCAGTTTGAACCTAAGGACTACTACGGAGATTAAGGCAAGCACGATGCATTTATACTGCTCAACGGAGACAGGGATAACGTCTTCCAAGGCACCAACGATTCTTCTCATGCATTCTCTTTTACAACAAGGGTTCACTCATCAGTCTAGCTGTTGTTCGTGAACAGGATGAAAAGTCCAGCAGTACCCAAACCTACTTGCAATCGTCTCATCCTATGTTGCAGGCATTTGAAGAAACATGGAACCTAATCTGCACAATTAATGCTCAATTCTGTATATTCTGGGGAGAATGAACTCTTATGAAAGGGATGCTTAGAAACAGGAGAAAGCAGCTGCACGTCTGAAAATGTACCGCTTATTCCACATCACAACGAACTGAGCTAGTTTGATCTTTACAGTAACTAGTCTGCTGAAGGGTGACATTTGAAAGTGACTTAAAACCGACAGGGAGCAAGACACCAAAAGAAGGCTGAAAACCTGAATTCCTCCTTCAGTGACAGGTCTAGGCATCTGTGCAAGCACGAAAAAGTGCAAGGGGCAGGGAGGAAGTCAATTAAAAACAAAGCCCATTTGCTTTGCAGTGTCCTCATGTGCTAGGCTGCATTTTATGCTGTTTCCTTATAAGAGAGGTGAAAACACTGTTCAGAGCAAAAGAAAAGCAACTTCTCTGTTTGCAAAGCTCTGATGTAATGAGGGAAATGCCCAATAAAAAGGTCTCTATTATAGTTTGGCATAATACTCCATTGTGTTTTAAAACAGAACAGTACTCCCAGATCCCAAAGCAAGTGCGATTGTTAGTCTCTAGTGAAGTAAAAGTAGATGCCATTCAATAAAGCTTATCTGCAAGTTTAAAACTACAAAATTGCTGCGGTCAAAAAAAGCAAGGTCCCCATCACTACTTAGTTTTTCAGCAGAGGGGAAAAAACCCACAAACAAGGAACAGTTTCCCTCTGACACGCAGAACTTGTGCTGGCAATTTCTGTCTGTGAGGAGGGGTTAAACGTTGAATGCCATTGTCCAGCAGGAGAAGAAAAGATCCTGCTAGCAGTGAAAAGACCAACACAATTGCATATTAAATCCAAAAGGATGATGACATTGCTGCTGGAGAACAACTAAAGCAGGCAAAGAAATTGCAACTCTGAACCCAAACATTTTTGGATGCTGACTGAGAACTTGTCCAAAACCAAGAAAAATGTTCTTCTCAGAAGAAATTTTTCTTTAAATCAATATAAATACTACCAGTGTATGAGACTCACTGGTTCATTTAACTGCCAGAAACAGTCTTCCTAAGTTAGAAACCGGTTCCTAGGTACAATGTATATATTCCCAGAACTAGGAAATTTGTAAAACATGCTTAGCGCTTCACTAGAAATGAGACTTATGGAATTATAATTTAGTAATTAAATAAAAACAGAAAGGAGGGAAATATAAGGAATATCCATGTTAAGACTTGATTTTAATATTGTCCTAAGAGCCTGGCTGTTGTTTGGTGAATTATGAAGGCGTAAACTTGACTGAGGTTATTAAAAGAAATCAGCAGTGATGGGAGGTCAACAAAACAGAGAAAACACATTATGAAAAACATCAACCCAGCCATGCATCTCACACAAAACAGCATATTAATTTATCACTTCACCGACTGACTCACAAAGAGAAAAGATTCCTTTGTATAAGTCTTAAAAATAAGTCTGCTGACAACTGAATACTGGTTTTAAAATCATCACTTTTCTACTTTATGTTTTTCCCGATTTCATTATCCAGGAATAAGAGCAAAACATGGTCTGCACTAAATGATAGTGATGATTATCTATTATTTCTACACATAATAGCAGGCACGATCACAATCAAAAGGAAAAGGTAGGCTTAGCTTACCTTAATTTATTACATATCTTAAATAGCTTTTGTCCCCCCTACACCTTAACTGTATTTAATGTCAAATGAGGCATCTGAGCACCATAAGCCACATTTAGCCATCTGCTTTAATAGCAAACCCAAAGAATTTAAATTTTAGAGAGAGATCTTAACAATGTTGACCTCTGGGCCAAAGCTCAGTGTCCCTGGTCTACGTGGATAATGCTGCTGAACATAGGAAAACTGAGGCAGACAATTGAAGGGTATGTAACAGGAAAACAAATCTGAGGCATGCAGTCATGCAATGGCAGGCAGATCTGATGCGTTTTATATTAACATCGAAAGGCAGAAACTACTGAATTAACTACGCTCCTTCATTACTACACATCTCTAAGATACCAGGAAAAAAGAAATAGCATAAAACATGAATGAAGTAGCTCTAGAAATGTTTAAACTTTGTAAATGTCCCAGACTGAAGATGTCAATGAAATCATCACTGAGAAGCAGCAAAACAGAAGCAACCACAGAATATTTTGTGATCTCTAGAGTCTGCACAGGGCAGCTTTCTCTTCTCTCGTGATAGTCTACTATCACTGAGACACTGGATCTAACAGATGAGCAATGGCTGGTATGCAAACAGAACAGAGGAGGCTACCCCTCCGCACTTTAGATGAATGCAGTAATGCTGAAGTGTTAGGCAGTGTGCTATAAGCCAAACAGATGGTGTCCTAACCTGGACTAACAAGATAAGGACTGTTTTAGGAAGCGTTCACTATTAGCATTATTTCATTTCCCTCTTACTAAAACAGTTTAGCTTTTGCAAACATGGGAAGGGAAAAAAAAAAGTGTATTAATAGTGGATGCGTGGCAGCTGCAATGCCATGCAAATTTCATTGTATGGTTTCAGCATTGGAGTTCGTTTAAAAAAAAAAAAAATCACTCTCAGAGAAGACTGCCATGTTTTATGCTATTTAGATTAACTCTAGAAAGCCTGTCTAGTCCGAGCCAGTCACAACTTCATGCTAACTCTATGTTCTAGGTGTTGCCATGGAAAATGGCCAATACGTGCAGGGTTCTTACCACTAACAAGGCACTATCATCAGTGTGCTGAGACCTTCTTGATGGGAAGGGGCACTGGGAGGTGGGAGAGATGGAGCAATGTCAGAAACAAACAAAATGACACGGTGTGTGAACACGCACAGACGTTCTGGAATATGGAGAGTTTCCTTGTGTTGTTAACATTTAGAGGCAATGTAGTTATATGCATCTACCATTCACTCTTGAATGTGCTGCTAAAAATCACCAAAAATATTACCATACAGTCATGAGCTGTAAATTAGAATGCATTAATACCAATTTAAACACGAATTATTTAGCTTTCTGTGGCTGTCTCTTAAAAGGAAGAGACAACTACATATCTAAGTCTTCTTGCTGTGCGGAGGAAGGAATGCCTTAGAAAAGGACTTCGAAATTGAAAACAGAACATCATGTGAGTGAATGAGCAAATGTTTCAAACAGTCAGATTCAGATAATTCTCACACATGCAACTGGAAAGCATTTTTTACGATGTTCTCTGTGCGCTGCACTCATTAGCACCTCTTGCTTTGATTAATGCTGACAAAGAAAATTAGTCTCCTTTGAGAGGAAAGAGTCCGTCCGCTACTGTACAGTAGTACAGATGCAAAAAAAATGAACAACTGCCATTGTAACAGGTCTGCAGTATATCAAACTGCTTTAACACAACGTGCGAGCTTTGTAATTCTCTTCCCGCACCAACTCTGAACACAGTTTCTTGCTAGAATTTAGGTCAGAAGCTTACTCTAGAACAGGGATGCTCAAGGGGGTCGGACTCAATGATCTATTGAGGTCCCTTCCGACCCTAACATCTATGAATCTATGAAAAGCCCTGGCTCTCAGGGCAGCTTCAGCCTCCAGTGCCATGTCACGCAGCCTGCAGAACTCCTTACAGATCCAGAAATTTGGAAGTGGGGGAGTGGTAGCACCCACTGTTCCCCTGCTGCCGTATTTTCAGGCTCATGGGGAGCCCTGGGTCCTGCATGCTACATTTGGTGCCCAATCCCAGCATGTAGGGCTGGACAGAGGCAATGCTGGGCTCCAGGACCCAATCCTGGAGTGAGAGAGGGAGGCCAGGAGGGAGAAATGCCAAGCCCCCCGGGGCCCAATCCTGATGGGAGGGGAAAGGAAGAGACATTATGGGCTCCAGGGTCAGATCCTGGCACATGGGGCTCAATTTGGCACACAGACTAGTCACACATGCACCATTCATCTGGCCCGTGGGGCCAAAAGGTTGAGCACCACTGCTTTAGAATAAAGCTAGTATATTTTACTGGTAACACAATAGTTTTCTGGAATAAGTGCTAATCTAGTAATAATGAAATGATAGGAGTGAGAGCACTGGAAGAGAAGTGTCTGCAAAACTGCTTATTTTAGTGCTCCCTTTAGAAAATTAAATTGTAGCAGTTCAAAGAGACTCTTCAGCA